TGTGTGTGTGTGTGTTATATGTGTGTGTGTGTGTGTGTGTATGTGTGTGTGTGTGTGTGTGTGTGTGTGTGTGTGTTTATATGTGTGTGTGTCTGGGTGTGTGTTTATGTGCGCATGTGTGTGTGTGTTTGTGTGTGTGTCTGGGTGTGTGTGTCTGTGTGTTTATGTGTGTGTGTGTGTTTATGTGCATGTGTGTGTGTGTTTCAGGTGTACTGTGTGACTCCAGACGAGGCGTGTGAGCGTCTCCGGACTCTTCGTCCTCACGTCATCCTTCGCTCCAACCAGCTCCGCCTCCTGCACGACTTTTACCGACAAGTGTGTGTCTCCGAGCGAGAAAACCAAGAACCAGGACCAAGAGCGACGTGACGAGTGTGAAACCACCAGCAGACACACAAACGACACAAACGACACGACAAACGACACAAACGACACGACAAACGACACAAACGACACAAACGACACAACAAACGACACGAACGACACGACAAACGACACGACAAACGACACAAACGACACAAAACGACACGAACGACACGACAAACGACACGACAAACGACACAAACGACACGACAAACGACACAAACGACACAAACGACACAAACGACACAAACGACACAAACGACACAACAAACTATCAAAAATCGTTTGTTCTGTAAAAGTTTGTTTTGTGTGATTCTGTTTTTTTTTTTATCTGAACAGTTTTATTTTGGTCGATGAGTCAAAATGTGCCTCAGCCTCAAAACAACAGAAAATTAAACCAAACATTTGTGTTTGGTTTGTGTTGTTTTGTGTGTGTCTGTTTTCATTTGTGTTTATTTCTAAAATTATTCATTATTATTTTTGTGTAAATTATATTTTGTTCATTTCTGTTCAGTTGACGACAGCGACTTTAACAAAACTCCACAAAACTCGTGAAGAGAAACGACCTGAGTCTGTGGAAAAGTCTGCGTGATTATAAAAATATGAATCAAAAGTAAATGACTAAAGACTGATCAGACTCTATAAATCACATGTCAAATTCAGGCCTGGGGGCCAAATTTGGCCCGTGATATAATTATATTTGTCCCGTGAGATCAAATCAAATCTGTATCAGAGCTGCTGCCGCACACAGAGACGACAGACACATGATTTATTTAAAATGTTATTATTATTTTATTTTCTGTTTGTTCTAAATTCAATGTTTAAGTAAAACTATTATTAAACATTTATTTTAATAAGAAAAGTTTTAACATTACAGATCTCCAAAGAATAGAAATCATGCAGATGTTGGTGACATTTTTCAATAAACTTAGTCCCAGTTTTTCATTTTGTCTGTGAGTTTGAGTTTGTCTCTTCTGCTCTAAAAGAATCGTTCATATCTGAAAAACTAAAGCAGCACAAACAAAGCTTTTTGCAGCAGAAACGACTGACAGAGTTTTTGTGCAGGTTTGAGTTTGATGAAAGTCGACTTCACAGACATGATCCTGGGGTTTTTATTTCACTTATTTTTGTTTTGGCCGTAAATAAATTCCTTTTCTTAAGATGGACTCTGCTCTGAATTCTCTCCTGTACTTGCCGACCTCAGTGAGCTTCATTTGCCTGGAGCTGAACTCTGTGGTGACGTCTCGCTCCCTCAGGACGTTTCTTCTGCACTTCTTCTGTGGTCCAGGAGTTTGTGGAGACACAGAGTGAGGACACATGTTCTTCAGTGGAATAAACACAAACGAAATTGAAAAACAACAAAACAAACTGAACTTTATTTGAGTCTGGTTTGAATTTTTTTATTTGAGTCTGTTTTTTGTTCCGATCAGGAGAACACTTGATTTGTTCTTTTTGTGCTGCAGTGATGTTCCACATTCACAAAGTTTAAGTACAAGACGATTTACTTGTGTCATAAATAAAGATGCAGTTCGTCACTTTTCTGCTGGACGGACTGGATCCATGTGCTGTTCATTCTTTTGGATTTCAATCAAGAACAAAAAAAACAACAACTATAAAATGGGAAAACAGTTTGTTATTTAAATTTTTCAGTTTTAGTGTCAAACAAAAAACAGATTTCGACCTCGATTTCCAATATTTAATGTAAAGTTTATTTCGAATAACCCCAATCAAAAAACGATTTCTGTGCCAGTTTTAGTTTTGAAAAATCGTTGCAGTTTTGTGACAAACATGTTTCTTCTTTTACAGCGACGTGTTTGCGTCTTAGAAAATCTTTGTTGATTCACGACGAGAAACAGGAAGCAGAGATAAACTCCTTTGTTCAGTCGACTCCAGAAAACTAGAATAAAAATAGTTTTTATTCTAGATTCATGGTCGACTCTAAATTCACAGGCGACGCTGAACAGGAAAACTTCAGATAAACCAGAGAGAAAAGTAGAAAAGCAGAGAGCGCAGACCTCCGCCAAGGACCACCCCCGTTTTTTATATAAACTGCGATAAAATCAGTCTTCTGGATCAGATCCGGATCAGCCTTTGGAATATGAAAGAGGATCCCACTGTCCATCCCTGAGTCACATTTCAT